GCCCTAATTTACAATATTTGTGGTGAAAAATTCCGTTTTTGTTTTTTTTAGAAAAGTAAGATTTTTTTCTCAAATAAAGCATTTTCAAATAGTCCACAGTTCACCTGTACTTGGGAGAGCCAGTGATGATTATAATATTTGCTAGCTTTCCCTATGCTGGGCCCAGTTCTGAGCACTGGAATTTAACATCCTCACAACACCTTTATGAAGTAGGATATATTATTATCCACTTTCAACTGATGAGAAAACTAAGATACAGGAAGTGATTTCCCAAAGTTACACTGCTATAAAGTGGTAGAAGTGAACTTGAACTCAGTGTTGTCAATAACATTCTTCAGTATATGCTCTGCTGCTTCTGTGGAGAGAGATAGGGAACCTCGTATATATCATGAAACCCTAGTTCATACAAGAATAAAAAAGAAAATTAACATGGGTGTTCATTTGACTTGTAACTGAGGCAAGTAAGTTACAAGTTTGCAAGTAGCATTGGGGGTGCAGATCTGGATGAGAATGATGAGAGCCTCCCCTTAGGGTTGGGGATGGAGACTGAAGACTCTATGGAGACCTAGGAGGTGAGCAAGAACAAGTCCAAAGTAATGGCCTCTACCTATTATGCTGGTGCCCTCAAGGAAACAGGTGTAAAGTGTGTGTCAAAGAGGGTCCTGGGCAGTCTGTCCAGGGGCCAGTTTGGCTGGAGTGTGCACCCTGACAGAAGTGTGGGTGCCTTTTATTTGCACAGAAATAGAATCTGAGTTAGAATATAGGAACGTCTTTTAATATGTTTTAAAAAACCAAATGGGACAGAATTATGAAAAATATGTAATTGTGATATATGATTATCTATCTATCATCTATCTATCTATCTATCTATCTATCTATCTATCTATCTATCTATCTATCTACCTATCTAATCTGTATCTTTTTTCCCTGTAGTGATTCAGTTTCTGGTTTTCTTTTTAAAAAATTTATCTTTATTGCTGAAAATATTACAGCTATCCCCTTTTTTCTCCCCACTGATTCCCTTCCCTAGGCCTTCACTACACTATTATCTGTGTCCATGCGTTATGCATATATGCATATAATTTCTTTGGTTAATCTCTTCTAACGCAACCAATCAACCACCCACGCCTTCCCTTGAGATTCGACAGTCTGTTCCATGCTTCCATGTCTCTGGATCTATTTTGTTCATCAGATTCCACATATGAGAGAGATGATGTGATAGTTGTCTTTCTCTGACTGGTTTATTTCGCTTAGCATAATGCTCTTTAATTCTCCTAAATTGACTCCTCTGTTGTACTTGTGACCAAAAGTACACAAAAGTGGCTTTATTGTAAATTTCTGCAAACACTTTTAAAGCCATTCTTATTACTATTTGGGTGGCAATTCTTTAGATATGTTCCATCTTGGGAACTAATCAGAACTGTGTTCTCTGAATCATGTTTGATTAGATGTTCAGAGTCTAGACATACTTTGAAATCAGATGAACTATCTCAAACGTGCAAGTTAAAAGAATAAATAAGAGCTTCCCTAAATAATTGAGATTTCTCTTCTCCCCCTCACCAATATTCTACAACTGATCAAACTTTCATCCTATACTATGCTTTCTAATTTATTAATTACTAAAGAGTAAAAAGGCTAGACTTGATTATTTTTTTGTTCGAATAAAACATAATTTTGGGAGAAAACGTTAATGAAGAAGAATAACATCAGTATGATCTTAGACTTGTATCACAATCTGCATATTCCTAGGTAGGTTTTAAGAATACACTTTGGGTTAAAACGCACCCTAACAATTTATCACTATAGCTTGAAAATAGGAGGGTAACGATACTCCCTAAGAAAAGCCATGCAGCAACACCTTTCTACCTGCAGCACTTACCACCATGCTCAAACCAAAGGCCTCATTTGCATTAAGGGACTAAATCCAAAGGTATTCAATACTGAAAGAAGATATACAATGGCAAACAAGCATAAGAAAAGGTGCTCAACAGTACTAATCATCAAGAAAATGAAAATAAAAACCACAATGAGCTATCACCTCACGCCTGTCAGAATGGGTATTATCAAAAAGATAAGAGATAACTAATGCTGGGCCAGGATGTGGAGGAAAGGGAAACCTTTTGCACTGTTGGTGGGAATATACATTGGCAAAGCCACTATGTTAAACAGTATGGAGGTTCCTCAATAAATTAAAAATAGAACTGCCATATGATCCTGCAATCCCACTTATGGATATATACCTGAAAGAAATGATGTCACAATCGCAAAGAGGTATCAGCACTCCCATCTTCATTGTAGCATTATTCACAAAAGCCAAGACATGAAACAACCTAAGCGTTCATCAATGAATGAATGCTTAAAGAAACTGTGGTATGTATACAATGCAATATTCAGCTATGAAAGGAAATTTATCTTGCCATCTGTGATAACATGGATGGACCTTAAGGGCATTACTCTAAATGAAACAAATCAGCCAGAGAAAAACAAATGTTGTATGATCTCATTTCTATGTGGAATCTAAAAAAACAGTAATTAAAAACAAAACAAAACCCAAACCAAATTCATAGAAACAGAGGGGGGTGGGAATGGTGAAAGTGGTCAAAGGGTACAAGCTTCCAGTTATAAAACAAACAATTCTGAGGCTCTGATGTACAGCATGGTACTTGTAGCCGACAATACTGTATTGTATACTTGAAAGTGGCTAAGAGAGTAGATATTAAAAGTTTTCACTACACACACAAATGTTAACTATGTGAGGTGATGACATGTTAATTAATTTTATTGTGGTAATCATTTTGCAACATCTACATATATAAAATCATCACATTATACATCTTAAATTTACACAATGTTTTATGTCAGTTTTATCTCAATAAGGCTGGCAAAAAAAAAAGACTGAGGTATGTGTGACATCTACATTTTTATCTTCTCAAATGCACTCTAGTTACTAAACTCTGATCAATTGTTCAGAAGTTTTAAAATCAAGACACTAATCAGCTTTGGGCTTTTTACTAACATGGGTTCCTTAGAACTATTTACCAACTCATGAGCAATGCCTGAGTTTATATTTCAGAGATTTAGAGAAGGCAACATTTTGGATTCTTGACCTGATTATAAGAGACACCTTTTTGTGGCATGCCTATGTTTGATTTCCGCGTACTATTTCTCAGGGGTCATGCAGTGGATCTAGTTTTTCATGTTTCTAAATATAACAATCAGATTTATATTTTGACTCAAAAATTCCTAGTTGTAGTTCTGTATGTAAACATGAAAGCCAGCTGTGCCTTAGATCTGGTGTGCAGATCATTTGTTGTTATTAAAGGGGTGTATGAGGCTAAAAGGCCACTTGTGACCCAAATGGAAATCTTGCAAATGGAACAGATCTCCAGTGTGCTCTTTGGTCTGTCTGTCTACTCTCTGTGTTGAGTTTCAAAAGAGTAACCTTAAAATTAGCAATATGCAACTGAGCACAGTTTGTATGAAACAAACTGGAATAGATTTGTTCCAGGCTCAAAAATGATTTCTCCCTGATGTAGACTGAGACTTGATGAGGTCTTGGTAACATCAGCAAAAACTAGCCATCTGAAGCATCGGTAAGAAGAGTAGCTGCCCTCTGCTCAGGTTATACTAGTTGACATCTTTCAGTTTCCACCTTCAAGGCAAGAATGATTTTCTTGTAGTAAATGCTTATTGCTGCACACACCAATCTCTGTCTAGTAGGGCACACAGCCATTGTATCCCATTCTCTCTTTCTCTCTCTTCCTTTGTAGCTCATCAGGTTTTAGAGTGGAAGTGAGTTCCAGTTTAGAGTTCATTCAGACAGTGCTGAGACTATCAAGTCTGATATTTTTGAACTAAGCAAGAAAGGTCAAAATGGAGGTACATGAACAAAACTTTCAATTGGGTGTGATTTGAGAATACAGTGCTATAGTTTAGTTGCAATAGAAAATTTAAGAGCTCAAAAATTCCAGAATAATTTAGAATAAAATACCTTGGCTCTTTTTCCATTTTAAAATAAATTAAGCAATTCTGTATGGTTGAGGATTGACAGCAAAATGTAGAATTTCTCACCAGGGAATTGTATTAGCAGCAAAACTCATAATGCATTCCATTTGTTGAAAAGACCATGAAGGAGCCCTAGCTGGTTTGGCTCAGTGGTTGAGCGATGACCTATGAACCAGGAGGACACGGTTTGATTTTTGGTTGGGGCATATGCCCAGGTTGCAGGCTCAGTACCCAGTAGGGGACATGCAGGAGGCAGCCCATCAGTGATTCTCTCCCATCATTGATGTTTCTATCTCTCTCTCTCTCTCTCCCTCTCCCTTCCTCTCTGAAATCAATAAAGATATATTAACCAAGAGGTCGCTGGTTTGATTCCAAGTCAGAGCATATGCCCAGGTTGTGAGCTCCATCCCCAGTGTGTGTGTGTGTGTGTGTGTGGGGGGGGGGGGCAGGGGGAGGAGGTTGTGTGTGTGCAGGAGGCAGCTGATCAATGATGTTTCTCTCTTATTCACGTTCCTATCTCTCTCTCCCTTCCTCTCTCTAAAAAATCAATAAAAACATTTAAAAAATGGAAAAGAGCATGAACCAGGTGCTATATTCTTATAGTTCTTGGCCAATTATACTTAGCTACAGCCAAATTGTGGTTATTTGGAAAGTGCTTTCTATATTGTAACTTTTATCAATGTAATAAGAGACCTCATGGACATTGATTCTTATAATGTGTTACCAGAGATAAACATCATTAAAACTGCTTCCAAGTATTTACTTGCATTAGTGATGTAGCTATAACACAAGATATTCCTCTGTAATAGAAATCCTGAACATTGACTAAAGGTTAACATGGTAGGCAAACGTTTCAGTGATCTTTGAAACTTTTATACTTCACAGTAACTCTCCCTTTTCTAGATAGAACTTTTTGTGTGCATTGCATAAATATTATCGACAGTTCTTACATTACATAAACTTTATGTACATTTTTGTTCATAGGTTTCACTTACCAGAATCAAGAGGCAACTCGAGGCCAATTTCGTGTGCTCAGGAATGGTGGAAAACACTGACAAAATCAAGCAACCAAAGACAAGGAGAAAGCTGTAAAACGACAACAAAAAAGAGAAATCTGATGAGAACCTTGCCTTATCATGACAGACTTAAAAGCACCAGATCCATGTGACTTGGCACATGTGATTGGTTAAATCATACACGCCCTGGAAGGGACCAGCCATTTTTAATAGCAAAATACAATATGATGTGCAAATGGGGGTCCTTTGTAACTTTATTGGTGAAGCGAAGGTTGCGTGTTGCATGCTGTATTTAAATGTCCACATCCTAGAATCTAGGGATTTCCCATAAACATCTTCCCAAGCAGGGGTTCTGAGAAAGGCCCAGACAGTGTGCACTTGAACTCCTATCCAGGAGCAAGTGCCGCAGCTGCTCTCTCTTCAGAGAAGCCGAATATGCCTCACATTCACTCTTCTGGTGACCCGTCAACTGTTCTAAATAGTTGTTACTAAGCCCCTGGCTCATTTTCAGAGTCTTATATTGCTCATGGACTCTAATTTGTTATTTTATTTTTTTTCAATCCTCACCTGAGGATATTTTTTTCTATTGATTTTTAGAGAGAGTGGAAGGGAGGGAAGAGGGGAGAGAGAGAGAGTGAGGGAGGAAGAAATACCAATGTGAGAGAGACACATCGATGAGTTGCTTCTGCCCCCCACCCCCGGGGCTGGGGATCAAACCTGCAACTGAGGTGTGTGTCCTTGACTGGGAATTGAACCCACAACCATTTGGTGTGCAGACCAATACTCTAACCATTGAGTCAAACCGGCCAGGGCTATTTCTTTATAATGATAATAATAATAATAATGATAATAATAATAATGTAAGGGAATAATTTCCTCTGATATCCACATGCTTTCTGTGTCCTTATAGTCAAACTACTACAGAAAGGAGCCCTCAGCTCTGTCTGTTCATGCACAATGATTGGGATCAGAAGCCAGGAGCAGACTTTTCTACAAGTCATCTACAGAGATTTTTATTCCTAGAAATATGCAACTTCTGAGGGCCAAAGGGGGAGACAATTTCCCAAGGAGCTGTCTAAGAAAAAAGGAAGACTCTGTTGTAAAGTTGAAGTTATTTATCCTGAAATGCAAGATTAAAAAAACAAACAAATCTAACAATACCTGAGCTACTTGCTCTAGGCCAGTGATGGCGAACCTTTTGAGCTCGGCGTGTCAGCCTTTTGAAAAACCCTAACTTAACTCTGGTGCCATGTCACATATAGAAATTTTTTGATATTTGCAACCATAATAAAGATTTATATTTTTGATATTTATTTTATGTATTTAAATGCCATTTAACAAAGAAAAATCAACCAAAAAAATGAGTTCATAGGTTCACCATCACTGCTTTAGGCCATATTTTTCACTTTCACGTATTTCTGGGAAGTTCATATAATAACATCCCTGAAAATATCAGTCTCCACGTTCTTTAGTATGGCAGTGGAGTGGGTTCCCATCTCCTCTGGCTCACCTTGGCAAGCCTTATAAGTCTGTCTACTGCACTTGACTGGGAGCACAAGTGATTGGTGAATTACGGTCTTGAAGACAAATCTGGACTCTAATGCCTATTGTTAAAAGTAAAGTTTTATTGGCACACAGACACACCCATTTGTTTCTGCATTGTCTAAGGCTACTGTCATGTTACAACTGCAAAACTGAGAAGTGTGACAGAGAAGTATGGTGCACAAGAGTAAAATATTTATTCTCTGGCCCTTCAGAGAAAAAGTTCCCTGACTCCTAACAAATTTCACGTATTCCTTATCTCTTTATATCTATCCCAACACCGAACTAGAGTGCAAGTTCAAACTGCTTATATTCTATGTGCTTAAAACAATTACCAACATCCATAGAGCCTTTTCTACAAGCTGGACATGGGTCTAAGCCCCTTTCACATGCATCACCCGCATTATCCTCACAAATGTATGGAATAGAAATATCATTACATTTACAGATATGGAAACTGAGAACGAAAATCATTTTGTAACTCATCCAAGGTTGTGTAGCAGAAAGAGTATGCATGGATGAGAATGGAAATAACACTATTGGCTCAGCGAGACTTTTGGGGATACGTCTCTGTCTCTTCACACTGAAAAGGGAAGTAGTTATCATTCCAAATAGAAGCCTATAAGGGAAAGGAGTTCACTAGTGAAAAACACCCAGCACACAATGTTAATAACTACACATCAGACTTTTCACTCATGCGTATAATGATTCAAGATACTTTAGATGATTAAATTGGTCCTGATGGACTGGAAATTACAAACCAGGAATCAAATTCCATTGCCCCTATATGACTCACAGACTCCTAATGAGAAGTTGAAAATCAGGGATCAGTAAGATAGTTTGGAGGATGATGTGGCATCAAATAAAGACAGTGACACATGTTTCTTGGCTGGTGAGTGCCTATTACCTACATATGCCCATGAGTTCAGTCTTCCCAGAAAACATTAGAAAAAGCAAGCACGGGGATTGCTTAATCACTAAGACATCACCTTCTTTCAAAAGCATCCCAATACTAGCTGCATTTGTACTTAAAGCAGATCTATGCAATGATTCTTTTTGCTAGTTCCTTCTTCATTAATCTTTTTGTTTAATATTTTTGCTTCATGTCATTACTTTGCCCATTTTTTTTCCTTGAGCTGATCTTACCCTTTCTAACAAGTAGTTTCTGCACTAGAATTCTGTTATTGCTATAGGGGCCCATCTGAGGACTGTAAGCCAAACACCTCCAATGCTCCAGCTGTCCAAAGGGCTATGGATGGTCAAATACATTCATTAATTTGTTAATTCCTTCCCTTTTTCCTTCCCTCAACCACTCAGCCACTTATCCAATCATCAAATATTAATTATGTATATAATACTATGCTCAACCTTGGGTATATAACAATAAATAGTGTTCTTTTTTCCCCTTTCAGAACTTAGGATCTGTTGAGGCACACAGAATACTAAACAGATGTAAACAGAAAAGTAAAATTCAGAGTAATTATTGCAGAGATAGGAAAAATACAAGAGGAGACAGAAATATACAGAAAGGAGAGGTTAGGCACAACTAACTATAGTCAATTTGTGGAGTCAAGTGCAAAGTGAATATGCAGGGACCTTTATTAAAAAATTATTAAAAATGTCAAGATGATGACAGCAGAACATGACACCAAGTATTGAGTCCTTCTTGGTGTTGGGTCCTTGGGACTACACAGGTGACAGGCCCATGAAGCCAGACTTGGGGTTAGGGAAGACCTCCTGAAAAAAGCACTGACCAAACTCAGTCCTGAAGGTCCAGCAGGAGTTTGCACAATGGTTGGAATGACTAGTCCATAAGACTGTGGGTTAAGGCCAGGTGCAACCACAGTGTCACTAAAATTCACTAGTTAATCAATAAATTACAATTAGTGAACACCTGCCAGCTAGCTTATTCTTTGGTGGCACATGGAAAGTGTAAGGTAGGGCATTCCTGCAACTTACTTTCTGTTTAGGGATCATTTCAGCTCAACTGAAAACATGCACTGAGAACCCATTGTAAAAGAGACTGTGCCACACACTACCGAGGTATAGGATGAATTAAAGCAGCCCCTACCCTGAAAATATAGTGCAGTGGGTGAGGTCAACATAATGGATCTTAATGAAGGATTGAGGCAGATAAGTCATAAGAAAAATGCTTAGAGGCTGAAGTGGGGAGGGTTCTATTCCACCAAATTGGGAATGGTGGAAGCACATCAAAAACATCTCCAAAAATGGGTGGTGCTTGAGATGGTCTTTGGAGGAAGGGTAGGGCTTTGACCAGAGAAGCTTCTGGGGAAACAAATTCCAGAAGGAGGGTACAATATGAGAAAGGTAACAAGCTAGAAAATAAAGGAGGTAAAATATTTGCTCTCTGTTTTATGGAACAAAAAGTTATCGAGTTAGACTGAAGCACTGGGTCAGACAGGTGGCTGAACTGGGAGTCTGGGGACATGATCAGGGGAAAAGCTTGTATGGCAGGGTCTGTCTTTAGTTCAGTGGCGCTGCCCTCTGGTAAAATCAAGTTGGCAGCAGTGTTTGTTAGGACGTATCTGAATAGTTGAGTAGCAGAGGCAAGGGTAGTGGTGATCTAGATTAGGTTGTAAAGTAACTGGTGGAAATGAGAATAGAATAGAGATACAGACGATAAATATAGGAGCTCCATGCCATTCCTAGTTATTGGATTGGGGAGTAAAGTTTGGGAAGGAGGTGTGGTGGTTGGAAAGTCTGAAGTTTTCATACCTCATTATTGGTGATGCTCCTAACAAGCCATGAGGAGAAAAGTCAGGAGGAAAAACTGATTTTGGGGAGAAGAGGATAAATCCAATTTAAGGCATCCACATAGATTGTGGATCTAAATCTTGGGCACAAAGTCTGGGTGGAGACATGAAAGTACTTCTTTCCTAGAGGAAGTTAGTGTGTGGAACATGTTATCCTCAGGAAAGTTGTAGATCAAGCATGTAAGGTGTAGCTAAATAAACAAAAAGAATATTTGGGGAACATTTCCTGATGTTGGAGAATGACATTATGGAGAACAAGGAACATGTTTTTGTATACCAGAGACAGACTCTCTGGCTGGGGAAGCACTGAATTGACACGGAATGACCCCGGGGAGTGACAGTGTTTAGACATCAGGCTCATTGGCAGTGAATGGTGCACTGCTGGGTTTTGAGTGTGACTGCTGACATCATTGCTTCTGAGGGTCCCATGCACATGCATGCATGCTGACCACTGACCAGTACCCCACTCTACTGGTTGGATAAAAGTGGGAGCAAGGGCAAGAGTCACTGGATGCAGTCTTAATCTAGGGTCCATGGGCCTCCAAGGGGTCTGTGGATAGGATTTTGGGGGGTTGTGAATATAGAAGGGAAAATTGCACTTTTATTTGTCACTAACCATGGCAACAAACCATGATGGTATTAGAAGTATTTATGACTTTCCCATTCATAGAAATCACAGATATTTTTATACCCCATTTTATAATTGTAGATAAAACCATAATTATTTCATCTTGAATATTGATTTTGCTCATCA